AGGACAAAGCAAGAAGTGAACTTGGAAAGGTAGGTCAAAAGAGGTTTGATCAAAAGAGGCCTTGTGAGCTATGGTAAAGGACAAAGATGTTATTCTATGAGAAAAAGTAAACCACTGAGGAGTTTCAGAAATGAGTTATTTAATCTGCTCCTTACTCTTCACACTAAACCAAAACCAAACTTTCTGCCATCGAGTCATTTCCGACTCATAGTGACCCTATAGGACAGAGTAGAACTGCCCCATAGGGTTTACAAGGAGCAGCTAGTGGATTCAAACTGCTGACCTTTTAGGTTAGCAGCAGAGCTCTTTAACCACTTCACCACCAGAGCTCCTTCTTCACGCTAACTCTCCTAAATCCCAAATCACTATTGTTCATTTCTTACATTCTTTGGGTAAGCAACATATCACACTAAACCATAGAACTGGTGGGCTTAACCCCTTCCACAATCAAAAATCTTCACTTTGATTTCTTGGAGATTCTCCTTGGGAATGTATTTCTTGCTCTATGATGGGAGAATTTATTGATTAGGAAGTGGTTTGCCTTAAGTCAAATTTCCTGGAACATATCTATTTTTTAAAAAAGATATTGGTTGCTCAAATCTAATTATATTCTAGGCAGCATTTTTGTGGCTTTTCAAACAACAGCTTTGAATATTAAGTAGCCAGTTAAGTAAAGTAAATGTCTTCAGTGTATCACTTTAAAGATAGGTATTGATCTATGCATTTTGATGCCTATTGTAGTAATACTCTGGCAAAAATCCAAGACGTTGATAAATAATCAAAAAAAAAAATAGAAGTGTTACCAAATTCTATAAATAATAATAAACAGAGACTCGATATTAAAGACTTGGTTCACCACTAAACCATAACTGAATTCCCTAGTAAAACTCTATAAAATACAGGCGATAAAGAAAAACAAGGTAATTATGCAAAAAGTAGATCTTGCTGCCTACATTTTTTAAATTATGTACTAAAAACATCAGAGAGCTGCTTTATGTTTAATACGAAGCCTCCATAATTCAACAGATATGAGAAAAATGTTTTTCAACTATCACTGAGATTCAATTAGGGCATTCACAAGAAAGTAAGCAGAACGAATATCTAACCCTCAACGAATGCTAGGAGATTTTTTATTCCTTTGTGTGCTCAATGATCTACCTCCTGAGGAGATACCCCAAAAGGAGAGAAAGGCATGGATCACCCACAGTTATATACTCTAAAGAAATTTGGAAAACAGGTCCCTCAAAGTGTACAAACATTTACCTGGGAGAAGTGGTGTGACTAGGTAAACTGAGAACAAATGACAGGAGAAATTAGGGATAGGGTTTTGGGCCCCCCCGCCACTGGTCAGAGGATGGGTGTTTTTTCAGAGGGGAAACTGCATGTCCCTCAGCACACTAGGCACATGAGTCCCAGGCTAAGACGGAGTGGAGTGGGAAAGAGTCGTGTGTGCCAGACCTTGACAGACAAAGAATGGACACCAGTTGAGACATGCTGCCCAGGCAACCTACGACGGATGAGCAGAATAAGCAAATCAAGGCTATCTGGCCCTGAAACACAGGGCAGCGCTATAGAAAGACCTTTCCAAAGGCAGGGAGCAATCATGGATGACACACATTGTGGGACACCACAGCACTGCTTGTAAGTGTGAAGGGGTGGCCTATCTAGTGATGTATATTCTTCCAAATCCAAGAAGAGCAACAAGGACAAGAAGAGTACATTGAACAATCTTTTACAACCATCCACACATGCCCCCACTGAATAACTGAGGCCCTCACACTGACAGCATCTCAGACACTCTTGGAGTGTTTGAAGGTATGTTATCTAACTTTTAGGAATGTAATTTTTCTTCCAATAAAGTAAGAACAACTCTATCTACTTTATCTCACCATCTAAAAGGAATGCAATAAGGGTAAGAAAAATAATTACAATGACAACATTTTCAGTTTGGGGAAAGAAAAATGTTTATATTAGGATTACATTAGAAAGTAAGGATTCATTTACATTGTCCCCTTGCTCCTCATCCCTTGCTATATTATTTATGTTCTGACTAATCTCTTTTACATATTCTTTCTAGACCTTTTCTTGTTCTTTAAATAGAATTTCAAAGCCAACATACCTTAACACATTCTTCCTAAAGCAAGTCTTTCTTCTTGCTGAAAAACTTCCAAACTACCAAGAGGCAATAGTGTGATGATTAAGACCCTGAATTTTTCATACTGGCTCCATTAGAAGTTTCTAAACTTCTTGGTGCCTGTGATCCTCATCTTTGTTGTTATTGTTAGGTGCGTAGAGGTGATTTTGACTGATAGAGATCCCATGTGACAGAGCAGAATGGCCCCATAGGGTTTTCTAGGCTGTAATCTATTCCAGAACAGATCTCCAGGTCTTTCTCCCACGGAGTCACTGGGTAGGTTCGAACTCCCAACCTTAGGTTAGCAGCTGAATGCTTAACCATTGTACCACCAGAGCACCTCATCTTTCAACCCAGTTGCCATCAAGTTGATTCTGACTCGTAACGACCCTATGGGACAGAATAGAACTTCCCCATAGGGTTTCCAAAGAGCAGGTGGTGGATTCAAACTGCTGACTTTTTGATTAGCAGCCAAGCTTTTAACTGCTGTGCCACCAGGGACCCTCCTTATCGTTAGAGGGATAATAATAGGACTAATCTCACACCATTGTTTTAAGGATTAAATGAGTTAATTTATGAAAAGTGCTTACAACTTACCTGATACAAAGTAAGCACTCAATAAATACTACTAACTCTCTCCAAAAAATTTAACTCTCTAGTCTTGACATCCTAGGCACTACAAGGCTTACAAGCCCTCTCCTACATCACTCTTTCTCGTGGACTAAACTCATGCATAAAATTTACTAATGATGCACTCTTCTCTCAAACTGGTTAACAGAAACATGCGATACTAATTTACCAAATGGTAATTAATTTTAAACAAATTTATATTAAACAAACATTTATATTATTGAACACAATGCAAAATATTATGTGATTTAAAGATTAAAATGGTTATGAGGGTGGGGAGGGAGGGGGAGGGGAAATTACTAACTAGATAGTAGACAAGTATCAACTTAGGTGAGGGAAGGACAACACACAACATAGGGGAAGTCAGCACAACTGGACCAAAGCAAAAGCATAGAAGTTTCCTAGTCACATACTTTAAGGGACCGAGTAGCTGGGGCTGGGGTCGGGGGACCACAGTCTCTGGGGACATCTAGGTCAACTGGCATAACTAAGTTTATAAAGAAAATGTTCTACATCCCACTTTGGTGAGTAGCGTCAGGGGTCTTAAAAGCCTGCGAGAGGCCATCTAAGATATAGCTATTGGTCCCATCCCACCCGGAGCAAAGAATAATGAAGAAAACCAAAGACACAAGGAAAATACTAGCTCAGAGGACTAAAGGACCACATGAACCAGAGACTCCTCCAACAATAGCCCTGACAGGGATCACAACACAGAGTCCCAGACAGAACAGGAGAAAATTGTAGAACAGAATTCAAATTCACATAAAAAAGACCAGACTTACTGGTCTGACAGAGACCGGAGGAACCCCTGAAACTATGGTCTCCAGATGCTCTGCTAACTGAGAACTGAAACCATTCTCGAAGCCCACTTTTCAGACAAAGATTAGACAGGTCTATAAAACAAAAAATAACACACATGAGGAACATGCTTCTTAGTTCTTAGTTCAATCAAATATACAAGACCAAATGGGCAGCTCCTGTCCAAAAGCAGGACAAAAAGGCAAGAAGGGACAGGAACTGGATGAATGGACACAGGGAACCCGGGGTGGAAAGGGGGAGTGTGCTGTCACATTGTGGGGATTACAACCAACTTCACAAAACAATATGTGTATAAATTTTTGAATGTGAAATTAACTTGAGATGTGAACTTTCACCTAAAGCACAATCAAAAGAAAAATAAATAAATAAAATAGGACTTAAAAGAAATTTTACTCTCAGTTGGCAACTTTCAGCTAATCCATAAATACATGGGGGCTCCCTGTTCTCCACAGTTAGGGTATCTTAGGACAAAAGTTTGAAGTACACTTTCTAGTATTCATCACTCTCTCCTCATAGATCCCTCTTCCTAAAATTCCTGCTTCCATACAACTTTATGAAAATGATTCTCATCCCACTCAAATGCTTCTTCTGCAAGCACCCTTCCTATGTTCCCCCAGCCACAAATGACATCTTCATCTTCTGAATTCCCTTATGCTGTCTTTTATCCTTCATGTCCTTCTTTGCCTCCCCCTTATGTTCCAGATGCACTCCACATGACTGAAACTCCTTGGCCCTTACGTGGTGATGCTGTACCTTACATGCTCCTCAATCCAAGAAACATCTTCTTCCTCTTTCCATAATACAGGATCCCTGGTGGTGCAATGTTAAGCACTTGTCTACTAACTGAAAGCCCTTTGATTTGAACCCACCAGCCACTCCACAGGAGAAACATGTGGCAGTCTGCTTTCATAAAGATTACAACCATGGAAACCCTATGGGACAGTTCTACTCTATCCTAAAGGGTCGCTATGAGTCGGAATCAACTCAGTGGCAATGGGTTTGGGTTTTCTTTTCCATTATACATACGTACATGCATGCATCCTGCCCAGCAGGAGCTAGTACCAAGCACACAATAAGGACTCCTGACATCCTGCCCCAGTGGTTGTAACTCTATACAAAAGAATACATACATCAGCTCAAAAAGATTTACAGATCATTTTTGTGGCTTGTCAACATAAAACATTTCATTTTGAAGTTAAATTTTCTGTTCATCTGTATATGCTTTAGAGTAGTAACCAAAAGAACCTCCCCACACCTTAAATGTTAAAAAGAGTTAAAAATAAGGGCCACCCTCTGACCTGATTTTTCCGGTAGTCCTGCTGAGAATGTCTCAGAACCCGGTAGCAGAGCCGCAGCAGGTACTTGTAGGGAGCATATCTTTGGTCCCCCAGATCTTCAAGCCTCAGCATTGAGCCTTCTCCTGCTTTCTCCTTAAAGGGCGCTTTAAGAATCCCAAATACCTATCAGGAATAAAAATAACTGCCTATTCTGATGAATGGAGGTAAATGTTTTGCAACCTACTTAAATTTTTTTATCAAAAACTATTCTGTATTATTTGGGTAAAATTAGTGTAAAGGAAGAAAAGAAGGATACAGGGTCAATATACTGAGGAACAGAAAAACACTGCTAAAAGATTTCCCTAAATGGAATGACAAAAACATTGTTTAAATAAATTTTGTTCAGAAATTATATTTTATTAAAATAAGAAATACAAAGTTGTTAGGTTGTACCAAGTTATACAAGCATACTAAGATGAACTAAAACATAGATATAGGCTTTCTAGTTTCTTCTGTTACTTTCCGTAATTATCTAAAAACAAAATAATATTTTAAAAACATGTATTTTTTCATCTAAAACTGATATTAGAAAATTGCTTCCAAATATTGTTTCCAGAACTCTTCATGAAAGACTTTATTTACTGGTCTTATTACACAAAGATGTGGCCAAATCAGGGTGTTAGCATTCAAACGTAACAAATAAGGAGCCACATGTGCAGCTGATGAGCATCCAGTGAGCCAGATTCTTTTAGTAGGAAGTTTAGTGATTGAGAAGTATTTAAAAAGCACTAAAAAATGTAACTCTTTTAGGCAGCAGGACAGCAGGTAGGATCGCCTGGAGAGGAGCTGGTAGGATGAGTAAATTGTCTGTTAAGGAGTACATAGGCAAAGGCATGAGCATTAGTACAAGAAAAAGAAAAAGGAAAGCAACTATCCTTTGGAATTCCTGAAATATAATACAAATTCAAATTTCTTCAATAATTCCATATTCACTAAATCTTGAATTTTCAAATTCATAATACTGAAATAAAATGTTTGCCATATGTTGATGAAAATAATATTAATAAACCATTCAAGGTCATAAATGTCCTTGAAATAAAATGTTTTGTACAAAAGAATAGCTACTGTCAGAAAAGACTTTGCCCCATTAGATCTGCAACCTTTATTTTATTTGCGAAAAACATTGATTTTATATCTTTACTCAGCTATAAGATATTAATTGACAATATGTCTACTGTTTTTCTTTCCCAACTCCACAAGACATGAACATTAATAATATGATTTTTATTTTTTTATCTCCCTTGAGTCCATATTTAATTAATGCAGAAGCCCATTACTTTAAATAGCAATCAAGTGAATGAAAAATGTATAAAATTTAACACGTGCATATGTGCACATTATTAAGAAATGAATTAGTTTACTAGAGTGGTATGAACAATTTCAGTAAGGTAAAGTATGGAAGCAGCTCTAGACTCACAGGGGAAAAAAAAAACTAGGATATTTTACAGAGCATTTGTGAGCTGATGAATACGCTGTCCTCTTTATACTTTCCTAGGGAAAAAAGGGACCAGCTCCTGGTGAAGGACATCATGCTTAGGAAAGTAGAGGGTCAGCAAAAAACAGGAAGACCTTCAACAAGATGGATTGACACAGTGACTGCAACAATGGGCTTAAGCACAACTACGATTGTGAGAATAGCACAGGACCTAGTAGTGTTTTGTTCTGCTGTATACACGGTCCCTATGACTCGGAACCGACTCATGGCACCTAACAACAACAACAAAAACAAGGGAAGAAAGGGGAAAGTAGTAGGAAGCAGATGGAGATGGAAGTTTCCAAGTCTCCTGAAAATCCTACCTAGAAATATTTCCAGCACACTTTCTAGAGACAGTCTGACCATGAAGGATCTTTAGAGGCCTATGGTAGACAGCAGAGTCCCTAGGGGGTGAAAACGGTTAATGCACTCAGCTGCTATCCAGAAGATTGGTGGTTTAAGTCCACCCAGAGGTGCCATGGAAGAAAGTCATGGTGATCTACTTCCAAAAAATCAGCCTTTGAAAACCCTATGGAGTACAGTTCTACTCTGACACACACAATGTCACCATAAGTCGGAATCAACTCAATGGCAACTGGTTTTTTGGATTTTGGTGGTAGGCAGCCTCTAAGATGGTGTGATGGTTAAGACTGTGTGTCAACTTGGGTGGGCCATGATTCTCAGTGTTTATATGTGATCACTCCCATGATGGGATCTGCTGTGAACAGCCAATCAGTTGAAAGGGAGTTTCCTTGGGGGTGTGGCCTGTATCTGAATATAAGGAGACATTCTGGCTTTTTGCTTGCTCTGGATCCTATGGCTGCCTGC